TGTGTGTGTGTGTGTGTGTGTGTGTTTGTGGGTGTGGGTCACGTGAGCATCTGTATATCAAATCTTGCAGCTGGCAGAATTTTTGTTTTGTTGTTCCAGAATAATTCCTCGGAGCTGGGTAGATGGCTCAGTGGGTAGAAGAAAAGGGACTTGCTGTACAAGGGCAAAGACCTGAGCTCATATGCACAAAACACACATGAAGATAAAGGTGGTAGCATGTGCCTGTCATGGCGGAGCTGCCATGTTGGTGGCATAGGAAGGGAGCTGAGGACCCTGCACCCGGCGGCGTTTAGGACGCACAGAACAAGGAGCGCTTCCTCAAGAAGGTAGCTCTCAGGACCGGAGAGATGGCTCCGTGTGTAAGAGCATGTGCTGCTCTTGCAAAGGCCCAAGTTCGGTTCCCAGTGCTCAGGTCAGGGAGACTGATGGTTTGTAACTCCAGATTCAGGGCATCCAGTATCCTCTGTGGCCTATCTGGGCACTGTACCCATATGTGCAAACACGCAAACACACACACACACACACACACACACACACACACACACACACACGCCCATGCTAAAAATGTTTTTTAAAGATGGATTCCAAGACTGACCCTGTGGCTGTACTCTGACACATGCTCCCGTGCTCAGATACATGCGTACATACCACACACAGCATCAATGACACATACAAAAAGATAAACAGCGACTGAAAGCACTTTATACTTTCTTGTTGTGGAGGCCTGGGGATAGAAATTTATATCTTTATAATAACATTCATGGGCTTGATTATAAATATTTATTATATGGTATATAGCACTGTATTTATTGTAAGGGTCACGTAATCCACTTTACTATTGATTTAAATCAAAAGATTCTTGGTTTCTCTTTAAGAAAACCCTGGTAGTCTTCTCCTCCCTCTCCTTCTTTTTCTTTTCAGAGACAGGGTTTCTCTGTGTAGCCTTGGCTATCCTGGGCTCACTTTATAGACCAGGCAGACCTCCTGCCTCTGCCTCCCTGAGTGCTGGAAATACAAGCATGTGCCACCATGCCTGGCTGAAAACACTGGTAATCTTACAGCTCATATTTCAGCGACAGTTTTAAACCACTTTTTCTTTTACTTTTGCTAGATGGAACCCATTAGCCATACTTTACAAGCGTTCCTGTCATACAGTCTCTAGTGATAAAGAGTGACTATGCATCTCCCAGAGCCTTGGTACAGCATGAAGATAAAGATTTCTTCTTCACAAACAATTTAGAGGCATGTTCTCCCTGTGTGCCCCGGGATGCAGCCAGCTTTCATTGCTATGCCCTCACTCAGGGGCATGAGGCTAGAGGAGCACACCCCACACCTAGCCTCCCAAACCCCCATTTGAAAAACTTACCAGAACTGTACAATTTACAAATAGACACAGACACCTCATAATGTATAAAGTTGTAAGTATGCTTAAAATTTTTAATAGCTTATTCATCATAAAACCTGGTAAAATTGAAATTTTTGTCTTCTGGCTTTGAATAGTTTTCAAGACACCAAGACTTCTTTTATGCACCAACTTTGAAATGGACTGTAGAGGGATTTTAATTCTGACCATGGCTGCTCTGGCAAGAGATCACATCCAAGGACCTTCTATATATGTGTGATCCAGATGGAATATAGACACGCCTTTAATCCCATGAGACAGACAGACAAGAAAGCAGATCTCTGAGTTCAAGGCCAGCCTGGTATAGTGCAAGTTTCAGGTAAAGAAAAGCTTAGGTTTAGGTGTAGTGGCACACACCTTTTATCCCAGCACCTAGGAGGCAGAGACACGCAGATCTCTGAGTTCTAGTCAGTCAGTTTGGTTGGCAGTGAGTTGAGAGGCAGTGCAATGGAGGTGAGTTTGTGGCAGTTCTGTTTGTGGAATGTACAGGGAGAGTTGTACAGAGAGGTTGAAGAAGGAACCAGCTAGACACAGGTGAAGACAGAATGAGCCAAAGAATGGTAAGAGCCAGAAGATTAGAACAGATTGCTACAGTTGCTTTGAGATCAAGCAGAGCAATTCAGTGAGAAACTGAGAGAAGCAAGATTGAATCAGTCAGCTTGGAGAGGAGTTTGAGCCAGAACAGCTCAGTAGAACCAGCCAGCAATAATTCAGAAAGAGTTAGAAAGGGTGATCTTATTCAACAGGAAGTCTCAGAGGCTGAAAACATTCTAGGCCTATTAGATTGAATGGAGGATAGAAGCTTTCGGGACTACATACGAATAGGTTGGCAGAACGAGGCACCCTGCTCCTTGGTTGTGTCACCCCTTGCTTAGACTGTCCAACCTTCTTTACATTCAGCTTAAACTCTCTCATTCTGTCAGCTTATCTCATTTTATGCCTACCTTCTACCTTTCTGAGAGGACATCAGGTATTTTTTTCCTTGGATGAGTTCAGTAACCCTCCCTCAAGCAGCCCAGCAGCAGGCCTGGGATGAAGGTAGGACATTAAGTTGATATTCAAAATTACACCTTAGGGAAGGATCTCTTTCTCCTGCTACTAGCTAGCTCCAATCCCCTAAGACTGTTGAGTGACCCCTGCCTCTTAGCACCTCCCTAAGTGTGCACAGCAGCTGGGGCTTCCGAGGCGTCTCCTGGAGCCCGGTCGTGGTATGTCCAGATCTGGGTGGAGAGATGCTGTTTTAGAGCATGTGCTTGTAGCACTGCGCAGTGTCTAAAATGTGGGTGTGGCTTTAATGTCCGCGCCACTCAACAGGACAGTCTCGCTTTGCTAGTCTCTATAAACAGTGACCAGAGAGTGTCTTTTATTTCATTTAGGATTTTGCAGTGTTTAATAGGTAAGAGACTTCAGCCCGTGGCTAATGGACATAAGAATACATTACACATTTGATTGCACTGTGCTGGCCTAGGATTAACATTCCTTGTGATTCTTTCTCTCTTATCTAGGCTCTAAACTTCTCCTTCATTTCAACTGAATAAATGGTTAAAATAATAAATATTAGATAGAATCCTCGCCTTTAGCTCCCGACTCCTTCATGACACTGCTGTGACTCAGAATTTTAGTGGCTGGAGAGGCTAGCATGAATGAATGGTTTATGTCTATATTTTACCCAGTGAACCAGATTTTAAAGACTGGGGCTTCGTCAGGCAAACCATGACACACGAGTCCTCTCCTTCCATCATGTGGTTTCTGGGGCTCAAACCCAGGCTATCAGGTTTGGCAGCTAGTGCCTTTACTGCTGAGCCACCTCAGCAGCCCATTCTTGCAGCAGTTTTCTGTTGCTGGTGACACATTACCAGAAACTTGGTGGCTTAGGAAACCCAAACTGGGTGTGCCTATAGATTCTCTGCACTGGCATTTGATAAATGATGGCCGGGATATGGGATAGAGCTGTGGTTGTGTGTCTGGGTATGGACATTTAACACTTTTTTTTTTTTTGGGACTGGTTTTTCCAAGAGGCAGTGCAGAGCAGAGCCTACACCAGCTTTTAAATTCTTTATGGTAAAGAGCAAATAGCCTGGGCATCAGGGCAGCTGGAAGGAGTGGAAAGCTTGGGGAGGCCAAGGAAGGAAGCACTTCAGCATAGTGTTTTTAACAATTACGTGAGCTGTTGGCACTGGCAGGAGACGTTTTAATAAAAACCTAGTAAAGGAGAGATGGAAGAGAGTTTGTAAAATGCTTGCCCTGCAAGCATGAGGATATGGATTTAAATCCCCAGGATTCATATAAGAGCTAGGCATGGCAGCATGTGCCTGAGATCTCAGTGCGGGAGAGCCAGAGACAGACAGGTCTGTGGAGCAACCTGGCCAGCAGTCTATCGGGGCAGCAAGCTGCAGGCTTGGTGAGAGACCACTGGGAGTATTTATTTACAAATGATGGGATGCGCACAACAGACACTGTATGAAAGGTCTATTGGATGGAGGTGGAGAGATAAGAGAGGAAAAGAAAAGAGAGAGACACGCTGCCGCCCCCGCCCCTCCCCCCAGGAAAGAAAGCAAGGCAGAGAGAGTAAGAGAGGAGAGTAACAGAGGAAGGTAAGAGAGAGTCAAAGTGGTGGGCTGGTCCTTTTACAGCTTGTGTACTCGTAGGTGAAGGGCACCTGCCACACACCTGGGGGGTGATACATGATGACATCATAGGTTACTAGGCTACCCGGTAGCAGGCTGCCAGTATGCTAACAACCACGTCAGAAAATAAGAAGTTACAGTAATGGAATGGGCAGGGAGTGTGGAAAAGTGATACCCCCCTAAAAACAACAACAACAACAACAACAACAACAAAAAAACAAAAACAAAACACAAAACAAAACAAAACAAAAAAACAGCAGCAGCAGCAGCAACAACATCCCGGTCTGAGTAACTTTTTTTCTCTCTCAGAAAGTTGGAGCATGCCACAATTCCAGACCATTCAGAAATCCTAAAGTATAACTTCAGAGAAATGTCCGTACCCTGAGTGAGCTGTTCTCATCTTCTTACATCCAGAGTTTCCCAGGCCACTATCCCAGCTCAGCAAAGGAACTTCCTTTATTCTCCTCTCTGAAGCGCAGGGATTCTGCTCCGTGGCCCTGGAGCAGTACGTAAGGACATCCCCCTCCTATTCCTTATTCCTGTTTGGATCTCTGTGACTGTGGGCTTAGTAGGTGTTAGGGGCTTCCTGTGCTGGTTTGAATGGCCTCCATAGGCTCGGAGGTCATCAGGGAGTGGCACTATTTAGAAGGATTAGCAGGCGTGCCATGTCACTAGGGGTGTGCTTTGATGTAGAATGTTCAGCTACTTCTCCAGTCTGCCTGCTTCCTTCCACGCTTCCTGCCAAGAGGGCAATGGACTAAACCTCTGATGCTGCAAGCAAGCCCACAGTTAAACGCTTTCTTTTATAGGCATTGTCGTGGGCTTGGTGCCTCTTCACAGCAACACAACCCTGACTAATGCATTTACCAGCCAGTCTTGGCTTCTAGCCACCCTGCCCTCCTCTGCCATGTGGATATGATAAAATAATCTCTTTCCTATGTCAGATTTGCTTTTAATAACTTCTCTTTGGTGCTTACACCATCAGCATATACTAAAATTAGAACAACACAGAGAGTATTAGCATGGCCCCTGCATAAGGATGACATGAAAATTTGAGAAGTCTTCCATAGTTAAGAAAAAAAAAACTCTCTTCTTTCCACTCTATTGATAAAATCTGTATTTCTTACATGGTACTTTTAGACTTCTGTAATATGGCCCAGTTCCTTATACATTGTCCTCAGGCCATCTGTCTATTTACAATCACTGCCTACTGCAGTGTGCTCATCTATTGCGGGGCTTTGGAGGAGTGTGTGTGTGTGTGTGTGTGTGTGTGTGTGTGTGTGTCTGCTTGTTGGTTTAATAATAAAGACGCGGAGACATCTGTATAGTGTAGGGCTGTTGGCCTGTGTGCTGGGGCAGTCTCTCAGCTAGCCCATCTAACTTGACCTGACTTCTCTGCTATTGCATCTCTCTGTGTGGCTCTCTCTGCTCTACCTCCCTGCTCTTCTCCTGTCACCACTCTGCCCCGGCTCCAGCCACACTAGCTACTCAGCCAGTCTGAACCAGTGGGCAGCAGGACAGTATCTGGTACATTTCTCTGTGCCGCCTTTTGGCATCGAGGGCTGCATGCTCTTCACCAGATAGCTTGCCTTTTCTTTTTGGGCAGGTGAGGCAGCGACAAACTTTTCTTTTCTTTTTCTCTGTGTAGCTGTCCTTGATTCACTTTCTAGATCAGGCTGGCCTGGAACTCACAGAGCTCCACCTGCCTCTGCCTCCCAGAGTGCTAGGATTACAGGCGTGCCCCAGGCGAAGTGACAAACATTTACGTATCCTGCCATCCTGCCACTTTGGCACAGCAATTGACAATTGAGAACACAGGGACACGGCCTATTAATGACATACACAGTCAAGATGTCAAAATTACAAAACAGAAGACAAAAGTAATAGTTGTAAAGGAGAAAAATAATAGCACACGACAAAGGTGGAATGACCTGTCTCTCATCCGTACTCCGAAAAGCCAGGGAAGCATGAGACAGTGTCCTCCAGCCCTGAGAGTCAATAGCTGCTAACCTGCGCTGCTGTTCCTACCTAAGTCACCTTGTAAAAGTGGGAAAGAAAACAAACAACACAGCACATTTCAAGACAATTACAAACCTGGACAGCTCACGGCAGCCAGGACAGCACTGCAGAAATTAAAGGGGCAGCTTCAAGGAAGAGCTGAACTTTAAAGAGTCAGAACTTCCCCAACCATCCCACAAAACAGAAATGGAAGCCATTATTTAACTTCCAATAGAACCAGCACTACCCTGATAAAATACTGAATGCACAGTTAAATAAGGAAAATGAACCATTTTTCCCTGATGAACATAAACACGTTTTAAATACAGTACTTGCAAACTGAAAACAAGAACACATTTAAAAGATAATATATTATGGCCAAGTTGATTTCATCTCATGCACACAACGGTGATCACAGTATGCAAATCAATTAATGTAATACAACATATAAAACCTGTGGACAGAAACCACACAATGATCTCATCATACACATGAAAGGCATTTGAAAAAGTCTAATATCTTTGGGCATGGTGGTGCACAGCTTTAATATCAGCACCTGTTCAGGCAGTACTCTGGGAGTTCGAGGCTGGGCTGGTTGACTTAGTGACTTCCAGACAGTCAGAGTGGTGTGAGATCCTGTCTTAAAAAAAAAAAAAATCAGTCTTAAGGAAATTAGTAATAAAATATATCTCAACATAATAAAGCAAACCAATATTCAACACACATACACACACATAAAAAAAAAGTTCAAAGTTATCTTTGGCTACTGAGCAAAATTGGGGCCAGCCTAGAATATGTGAGACCGCCCTCCCCAAACCAAACCAAACCAAACCAAACCAAACCAAACCAAACCAAACCAAACCAAACCAAACCAAACCAAACCAAACCA